TTTTTTTTTTTTTTTTTTTTGGTCTGGAGCAGAGTTTAGGAATCTGCACTTTTAATACACATCCCCGGTTAATCTGATGCATGGGCACACACACAGCAAGAAATGCTGTGTGTTTCCAACATTTCCAAGTAATTCAAAATCATTTCCTGGATATTATTTTCTCTTCTGAAAGATACTGGGCTTCAAAGAATAGCCAACGGTTATGAGCTCACGTCTGTTATAGAACCAAACAATCTCTCTACCATCTTCTTGGAAATTAGTCTTGAACCTCACTGTGACATCTTCCAGTGTGTTATTTAAATGAACTCTGGTATAGTTATTTAACTTCCCAGATGGTTTTGTTTATCTACCCAAGTAGAAGGTGTGTTTCTAGGAGGCAAGAACTATGCTTATACATATATTTTTTAAATGTTTTCAACATTATCTAGCACTCTTCATAAATATTTATTAAGCCCTCAATAAACTTATTTTAATTTTGGTTAAAATGCAACCTAAGTTGCTTTAAAATTCACTTTAACTTCTGAAGCATGAAGCCACTTCTCTCAGGGATATTGCTTATTCTAATATCCCTTGCACGGTAGAAAATGGAGGCCACACCTAATATTCATTAGAAATTGGCAACTGTGCACTTGGGCTCTGTTATTTAGCCACAAGGAAAAGGCAGAGCCACGGTAATAGCTTTGACTGATTACTTGGCAAGGGAAACCAAGCCCTTGGGTGTTCCAGACTCTCTTTGGCCTATAAACCTGTTTGAAAACCTGTTTCTCAGAATTTAGAGCTTAGCTCAATTGAGGTCAGTATTATAACAATGTCAATAATTCTACTGCTCTCAGCTTTCAAGCAGACCAGTACAATTCATCATTAACTTTATGTTCATGGAAAGGCAACTTTTGGGAAAAGAGCTCTAACTTAAGCTATTTTATTTTTATTTTCTTTCCCTTAAAAAATAGTTCTGCCAATATTCCTTTCTTTGGATTTTGTGCTTTCTAAACCTTAGCCCCTTCCAGGGCCTGAAATCATTCCCTAAAACCAGGCTAGTGCTGAATGCACAAGATTTGGGGCATCACTAGGGCAATAACTAGAGGCTTTCAGAAGATCAAATAAACCACTAGATCTGAAAGTCATTTTCAGTAATTCGGACTTCATGGAGTTTGAAAATTACCTCTGCCTTCAGCTGCTTTATAAAGGGTATGATATGGAGTTCTGCTGCCTAGTGGAATATTCCGGCAGGGTCAATCTCTTTCTCTTAGGAGTCAAAAGCTTAATGAATAATAAACTAATGTTCATTCCCTCTGAGCAGATCCACTTCTGGCCAGCTGTTAAGAGCACCTGCCAAAGTAATGGAGCGCCATTCCTGGGGTTGGAGTTGGACTGATGACCCAAGGTGTTAGTGTTCCCTTACTATAGGATTTCTCTCTTTCATTCTAGAAACTGAGGAAGAAAAATGGCTCAATATAGACATTTATTGGATCAAATAGAAAAGGTGTTTATTCACACCCAGGATAACACCATTATTTCTCCCTAGGAAAAAATAGTATTTTTATATTTAGAAGAGTTTGCTCTTGATATATTAATTTATTACAACTTCAAATGTTAAGTTTCCTCCAAATTGATTTTCTAACACTGAACTAAACTTCTAATAGTAGAGAAATAATGAACTAGAGCTACTCATCACATATTATCTTTAAGAGTTAGCTGATCGTATTGAGCTCCTTATGGGCATGGGCTAAGACCTATTTATTTTTATATTTTCAGCACCCAGAACCATGCTTGGTATATAGCACACGCACTAAATAAATTCTTGGGACTTAGTGACTTAAATGTATTTTCCACAACATGGGCACAAAAAATGGTTAAAGAACTGTAATAACTTAATGACCAGTAGAGGGCAATAAAGTTAGTTTTTAAAAATTCTTACCACCCCATTTAAACCCACTTTCAGTCCTAGTTCTTCCCTGCAAAGACTTTCTCTAGAGTAGTCTCACCTAGTCTTCTGACTTCACTTTAATTCAGCTATCAGCCTCTTGTACTCAATCAGGGACCCCATTTTAGTCCCTACAATAGCATATATAAAGGGAATGGATATACCAGAGGGTCAGAATGGTTGGTGTACATTGATTTATACAGCATAGCTCTCTCTGTTCGGTTAACTCGTGGTGTAATCAAAACCACTTGACAATAAATAATCCTGAGAAATGAAAGACCACAAGAGAACCACTGGGTAAGTTGTGGACTAAGGCAGAAATTTTGGCTTTAAGCTTCATGTGGTAGAAAATAAAATATATACAATAAGATACCAATTCCATTGAAAAGAATCACCCCAAACACATTTCCATATTTATGCATATAGATCAGATCAGAAGAAAATGCAAACTGGTTACTAATGCATGGCTTAGTGAGGAATTAATACATGGAATAGCAAGGGTTTTTATCTTATTCATGTTTTCTTATATTTGTCAGATTTTTGCGCTGCATCGATATTTCTTCTAGATTAAAAAAAAAAGTATATTATGTAGCACCTCCCACCAACAATTTAGAAATGAGGAGAAAGGCATGACTCATTTTCCTGAAACTATCAGGGCCTGACTCGTCTTCACCAACCTCCCCCCTGGCAGGAGGTGAGGGCCATCCAGAGAGACAGGGACATCCCACCGACCTGATTCCCCATGTTCTCCAGGGCTCACGGTGCCACATGATGCCTCACACATTCCCTGATCTATGTGGGGCAGGCAACCAACAACAGCTCTCAGGAGGGGCTTTCCTTCCACAGTCCACCGTTTGCGATTGCATTTTTCTGTTTCTACAGAGCCCCAAATTTCCCCCCATATTATTTTTAGTCATCCTCACAGGTGGGAAAAAAAGCCAGTTGGGGTTCCTGGCATGCCAGCTTTTCATAAAGAGAATGCAAAGTAGAGCTTTCCTCCAGGCCCGTGAAACCCAGGCTTTACTGGGAACTGTCATCTGCGTCCCGTGACCATGCTCCCTGCCAGGCACCGAGCGCGGAAATCCCGTGGGAAAAGGCCTTACTGCAGGGACTGGACGCACAGGCTCAGGTGCTGCTTCAGCTCCTCCTCCCTCTCGCAGGCCTCCAGCACACTGTGCGCACTGTCGTGGTGATAGCAGTAGGTTTTATAAATGTCCTCCAGGGGCTCCTTAATCTGCAGGAACACTTCTCCTGGTAAATGTAAAACAGAGGCAAAATGATACCACGTCAGACCCGCTGGGACATCACATATTTATTATTCGGCAATATCGACGGGTGTTGGAGGGGTGCCACTCGGCCCCCGGGGGCACCCAGAAAGCGTGACCTTTCTCCCCTTTTCTTTCCCTTCTTTCCTCCCTCTTTTTCCTCTCCCTGATTTTTTCCTTCCTCCGTTCCTTTCTTTTATAGAACAGAAGAGAAAGAGCTTAACAGGGGTGGGCGGCCAGTGGCAGCTGGTTTTCTCGGCGGTGACTGTGCACCTGGCTGGGCAGGAGCCTGGCTAAGAGCAGCACTTTAACGTCGGTCTGCGTGGATCTGGATCAGGCTGTGCTACAGACTTGGCCAGGTTATGACTTGGACAGTTTGTTTTTACCCTCTGAACCTATTTCCTCATCTATAAAATGGAAACAATAATAGTTCCAACTTCATAGGGTCATTATTAAAATTAAAGACGCAGTGTATGTGAAGTTCAGGGTACAATATGTACATAGCAAATGCTCAAAACGGAGCAGTTATTGTTAATTTATTAAAAGTATGGGAGGTGAAATTTTAGGCACTAGGTAAATTATATGTTCATATTTATTCCACTAACATTTCCTGAGGTTCTGTGAAAGGCAAGCAATGGAGTTTAAAGAAATAAAGTATTTCCTTATATGTGATAATAAAAAGAATCAGCCATTATTTCTGTTAAGATAATGGACATAATAAAAAATGTTAATTGGATAATACTATGGACAAGGGTTATGACTATCTTTTTCATAAAGCGACTTGGGCTAATTGTGTCCAGCATTTAAGAACTTATGTTGATGATAAAACTGGGTCTATAACTGATGGCTCAGATAGGTATTGAACGATGGTGTGATTTAAACACCCACTCCTTCACTTAAAAATGTGTAGTAAACGCGGCCGGGCATGGCTCAGCAGTTGAACGTTGACCTAGGATCCAGGCAATTGGGGTTCGATTCCCAGTCAGGGCACATACTCGGGCTGTGGGCTCGATCAATGACTCTCTCATCATTGATGTTTCTCTCTCTCTCCCTCCCCTTTCCTTTCTCTGAAATCAATAAAGATATATTTAGAAAAAAAAAAAGTGCAGTGAGCATCTACTACCCAACCCTGCATTGTGTTAAGGTGATTTGGGATACACACACACACACGCACATACAATATGTGATTGGGTCTGCTCTCAAAATCATTGCGGACTTGGACCTGATAATGATTTGGGCTGAGCTGATTAGGAGCCATAGGAACCTACTAATCTGGGCCTATTATAGTAACAACCACAAGCTATTCTTCCTTCAGAAATAGAAGTGCCCTTTGTATTTTCAACATGTTTTGCACATATTAACTGCTGAACTCCCTGCTCAGCTCCCTGTATATATGAGGAGATAAGAGGTTATTAATCCTTTTTAATTAAGAATAGACAAACCTGAGTCTAAAAGAAGTAAATTATTTCCCCAACATCCTAGCAACAGGAACCTAAATTCCCAGTTCAGTACTGCTGTGATGGGTGTTAATGGAAGAATTAGTGTAGGTATGATTATAGGTGGCAGGCGAGTTATTCATTTTGTGTTCTCAAATTGTCACTTGCTCTTCATGTTGTTTGTTGCTGGAAAAGCCAGGATTAGAAACCATATTCTTCTCATTTTTGCCCCCTTAGGCTTTAGCCCTCCACACAGCAGAGCTTTGCCTGACACTGTACAGAGAGATGTAGTTGGGAGGAATCTAAAATCACCATCATGTAGCATTTGCATGGTGACTTTGGGAATGACTTTAAAAAATTCTTTGAGCCTCAATTCTATCATTTGTAAAATGGAAATAAGTAATAGTAACTCTGGAGGTGAATTTAAGAATTAAATGGGATATAGGTGTAAAAAGTGCCTGGCACTGACGAGTTGCTCAATTAATGTCACTTGTCTCTTAATGTTACTATACTATCTCTAGAATTAAAACACCAGCACTTTTCTCATTTATATCCAGCCAATCAAAGGCTTTTTTTTCCATTTCATTATATGAGATTTCCCTGTGATTATAGACTGTGTGTGTGTGTGTGTGTTGTATCAATGCTTACTTGGACTTGTTCAGAAACTCAGCAACTGTGAGAATCTTTGGAACTGAAGGAATGAAGAATCCTTGTTTTGTTCCTGGGACTGTGCTGAGTTGATTCTCCTAGCAGTGTGGGTCTTGTAGATTTGCTCTTCAAGCAGCAACCCAAACAGTAAGAAATAGTTATAAGAAGAGAAAATAAAATAAGATAGTGGCAAAATTTAGGGTTGATCAGCCTCCCAGTGACAGAGCCAGGTGGCAAATGGGAGTGAGGACTTTGGCTGGGCGAGGGAATTAAGAAGTGGGAGTGAGCGCCGGGCTCGGAGGAAACTGAGGAGCAAGTAAAGGAGAAAGGGTCTGCATTCACACAGCCCAGCACAAGATGAAGTTGTAAATATGTATGTTCACGACAAAGCAGCTTAGAGACAAAGAAAGAAAGCGGCAAGGACACTCTCATAAATCCACAATAGGATCAAGTCAGAAGGTAAAAAAACAAAGGACAAAGGCATTTATTTTACACACAATGAAACCATTAATTGTAAACTCCTTTGTATTTTCTTTAACAGAAATGGTCTAGTTTGAAAGAATTTATATCTCCCCTTAACAGTGGAGTCAAAATTTTTACTCTTTTCCAGCAAAATTCTGCTGGGGCTCTAATAATAATTATTAAAGTTAAAAGGTATTTAAGTACTCTAATTGAAAGTCATTTATTCACCCAAAGGCCAAGCACAACACTGGCGGGCAGAATATGTGATTTTCCTGCCGGCCCTACCAATGTATGCTGCTTCATAACAGCGCAGATGAAGCGATGTGTCTTGCAGCAAAAACTGATTCTGTTTCCACGGTAACATAACTCTCGGCTGCGTTTCCTTGGCGGTGAAGGACAGCGGCTCTATCTCATGTATGTGGGTTTGAAGAGATGGTTAGAAGTGGCGAAGGGACTGAGCCAAGACCAGTGAAGGTAATTTCACTTCTGGCTGCCTGTACAAAGGCACCAGGATCCTATGAAATAAATATAACTGTCGTGTGCTTCTTTTTAAAAATTCTACAACCAGACTTTTTGCACTAGCTGACATGCAATGGGAGAAAAAAAAAGAAGGCACCCTTTTAAATTTCCTTAGTTATCTCCTTTAAAAACAAGTCCCAGGAATACTGAGCGCACTTTCGGTCCTGTGTCGTTGCTCCTGTGTTGCAGGTTGCTCCCTTCACTAACATAAATATATTCTTGCTCCTTTTGTTGACCCGCCTTCTCTTTACCCCCAGACCCCTAAGTCCATGCCCAGGCTGTGCCAGACCAAACCATGAGGCCTCTGAATTATCCTGACCCCCCTCCAAGATGAACTTCCCCTGCAGGTGAGTAAACCAGGGTGAACCAAGCGAGATGTTCAAGCGATCTCCTTTCCTAGGCTTAGTTTAGAAACTGGCATCCAAGGGAATAAAGTAGTTACAGTCTTTACTTCACCCTTATTTGGCAACAACTTAATGAATGACTGTTATGGGCCAAGTGCTTTGGTAGCTACCGTGGATCAGGCATTTCCCTCAAGGGCCTATGAAGGGAGAGAAAAGAGCCAAGTCTGTGTGGACATACATGTCAATAGAGCTATGAAGCGCAGAGGGCCACCTATTCTGCTCTTGAGGACCTGGAGCTATTTCCATAACAGTCTGTCCTTGAAATAGGAGCTATGAGTGAGGGCAAAAGCACAGAGACACATTGAAGGAGCAAGATCTGTTCAGAGACTGCAAGTGGGCCCCTAAGGCTGCTGATGCCATGTCTGTGGCGAGTTTGAGAAGAGGCTGCGTTGGTCAGCAGTGGCCAGACCCTGAAGGACCTTGTGTATCAGGAAGGAGGTGAACCTCAGCTTGAAGGTGATGGAGAAACACTGGTGGATTTCAGGCAGCAGACTAACACGATTGGACTGTGTTTCAGAAAGATTACTCTGGGGCTCAGACATATGGNCCACCTATTCTGCTCTTGAGGACCTGGAGCTATTTCCATAACAGTCTGTCCTTGAAATAGGAGCTATGAGTGAGGGCAAAAGCACAGAGACACATTGAAGGAGCAAGATCTGTTCAGAGACTGCAAGTGGGCCCCTAAGGCTGCTGATGCCATGTCTGTGGCGAGTTTGAGAAGAGGCTGCGTTGGTCAGCAGTGGCCAGACCCTGAAGGACCTTGTGTATCAGGAAGGAGGTGAACCTCAGCTTGAAGGTGATGGAGAAACACTGGTGGATTTCAGGCAGCCGACTAACACGATTGGACTGCGTTTCAGAAAGATTACCCTGGGGCTCAGACATATGAAAGATGGAATTTGAGGAAGGAGTGAGTGAGATTGGAAAAGAGAAACCCGTTAAAAGGCTTCTGTAATAATACAAGGAGTTACTCATGAGGGCTAAGACAGGGAGTCCCAGCAGTTAGAGAGTGTTCTGATACCAGCTGCCAGCTTTCAAATCCTGCTTTTACCGTTTGCTCTTGTGACATTTGGGAAACTGACTTGACTCCCCTGATTCTCAGTTTCCTCATCTGTAAGTTGGAATAATAACAATAGTAGGGTTGTTTGAAGGTTAAATGAGTAAAAATAGGGAATGTATTTGTATCAACAGCTGGCATGTGCCAATGCTCAATAGATGTGAGCTGTAACCACTAAAGCAAAAGCAGGAAGGATGGCGAAGGGGGAAAGAAAAGGGACCTTAAGCTTATGTGAGAGATGAAGAGGGTAATTCCAGGTGTATCGCAGGATGCTGGCTTCAGTGACCATGTGGATAGATAATGAGGACAAGATAAGGAGAGAGTTTAGGGGGAAAGACAATGAGTTTAATTTTAGACGTACTAAGTTTGAGTCACCCATAGTATATTCTAGTGGAGAAGTCCTTGTGGAATTGTATACGTGAGTATGGTAGTCAGGAAAAAGGACCTGGGGAAAAGATGTAAG